GCGGCAACTTTCATAAACAAAATTCTTCTGGTTTTAACTAAGAAAAGCGATAGAGGAAAATTTGATTATTTTTTAGATAATCCGACATTTGAGTGGACTCATGCACCCATGGGTAAGTTTTCAAGCATTCCTTCTTCCCTTATATGATGAATTTTTCGCAGATGCACATTCTTTTTGGTGCCCTACTTTCCGACTTTTTTATCACCCACACTTTTGAACTTCCTATAAATTTTTAAATGTCACCTTTTACCACTCGTTTTTTGATAGGAGGACGTACTAGTCAGTTGTCTAAATATGAAATTCAATTAGAATATATTATAATGAACAATTGGTTATTGTGATAATAAATTGGTATACTTTTATTCCTTCTTTTTATCTGTAATAGAACTGCCCACACGGTCGTCCAACAGTTCGCCACCTTTGTTCACTAGAAGTTTCGAAGCCATCAGCAGAAGGAATCAAAATTATATCTCTTGAGGAAGACAAGAGTCGAGATGTAACGGAAGATTGTTATCGTGAAGAGGAAGATCCTGTGAAATAGAAATCTTTGTAGATTTATAGTTAATCTTCTGTTGTTTAATGGTGATTTTTATACTGGTTCCAGAAGATAGATTTGCCTTTGAAACGTATTTTGTTAGTTGTCTTTCTTTATTGTCCTCTATTTACGCTTAGTTTTCAAAGCAAGAGTTTTTGTTCGGAATTTACGTGTTTGTGAAAATTGATTATAAGAATCACGTTTCAAAAGACTGAGATTGGAGCTTTAATAGTAAATTGTTCAGTAATACTTTCGATGGCAAAAAAAGTTTTGTAATTTTAAAATCTAATATTTGCTGGTTATTTTCTGACCTTTTTGTTTTACTGATGTCACTGCGTTGGGTATATTTTTCTGCAGATTTTTTTGGAGCAGCAGGAGACGAAAACCACAACCCGAACAATTCTAGAATCCCATTGTATATAAATTTCCTGCGTCTTCATAGTCAAAAGCCGTTGGCTTAAATTGGCATTCCTTGTCATGTTCAAATTGTGTTACATCATTTTGGTCTTAGAGCGTTAAACATTTTCAGTCCCCTACTTAGACATTTTTGCCGTATCATCTGACTTACAAAGACGTCATGTCCAAACTTATTAAAGACAGCTTTCTGTTCAGCAGATTTAAAATTTGGTTGTTATCATTTCTCGCTTATATTTTGTTTGAAGCGAGCTTTGTAAAGAGGTGGTTTTTGTTATTCTCAGTGTTTTTACACTTGCTGAAGTATGTTTTCATCACTTTTAGACGCTGTAACTGCTGTATTCGAAAGAGTCGATCTAGTTTGATGAGGTTTTTCATTTCTGTTTACAGGCTTCTATGCTAAACAAAGTCTTAATCAAAGCTAAATGAAATTTGGCGGTTTTTTTTTTTTT